CCCCCCCCCCCCATTACTAGGTTCAGTTTAAACATTTTGGCAGGAATATTACATAAGTGATATTCTGTGATTCTCAGTGCATTATATATCAGGACACATTTTATTGTTGATTTATCCTATCTTCAGAAATACTAAGTTTGATTATCTGGTTAAGGTGGTATCCATCAGATTCTCCATTGTGAAGATACCTGTTTTCCTTTGTAATTAGGAAGTAGTCTATGACATGGTACTTTGAGACTGCTTGAATAGTTTTTCACCTGAAATTTTTTCACCAAAGATCCATTGGTATTTTTTGCCTGAACTATTTATAGCATGATTGGCAGTTCGCTCTTAAAATTTAAACCAATACACCTTTTTAAGCCTTTTTTATTGTGTAATAAAATACACATACATAAAAATGTACAAAAATGGAATGCATAACTCAATGATTTATCACAAAGGGAACACCCTAAATAAATAGGTTTTAAAGAAAATATTCTAAAGTTAAATTCCAAACATTGGGGTAGAATCTGAATATTTGTAGGGAAACTGAGCATAGTGAGCTAGATTCATCTTTCCTCTTGGCTACTGGTGATAAGATCATTTAAATTTAAAGGAGTCAACAATATAGTTCGCTAGGATAAACTAGAGGCATATTTCCGAAGTTACCTGCATACTGTTAAAAAGACATGCAATAAAACATCCTTGAATTTTAAAATGTACTTGCATTTTCCCCCAAAAGTTTTTTACTATATCTTTCAAAAGATAATGTTAGATTGCTTAGACTGTAGTGTTTTAGACTTCAGGTCAAGACCCATTAGTGAGTTTTGAAATCAATTCAGTGGAAACACAAGTATTTTAAAAATATTAACTAGAAAACAAAATACCAAAATCCATCACAGATAGTATGGATGAGTATTGTTTTGTAAAACTTCTGTTTATATATCCACACATGTTTGTGTTGGATCTTGATGTAAAAATTATTTATGTTGATCCTATCAAAATTGTAAATGCCACTTTAGAATTTGAATATGATTTTGAATGTGAAAACAGATTTTAACCTTTAAAAGATGGCATTTAAAAGCCAGCATCATACAAACTCCATATATTTTCCAGGATCATCTGTACAAATAATGGTTTCTTTCCTTTTACCTGTGAAAAAGAACGTATATGCTTAGGTTTCTGAGTATTTAAGTTATTGATAATGAACACATCTATTGGCAAAAAGCAGCAAAGGAATAGAGAATGAGAAAAAAACAGAAGAAAATTGGATATGGAAGTTTAATCTAGGGCCACTGAAACCAGGGTAAGACTTGTGGGGGAGCTTCCATGAGAAAGTTATAAAATCGGAGAGGCAGGTACGGTTTAACACCTGATAGCCTTATTTTGAGCACTTAGAGTATGTCAGGCCCTTGTGTGTACATAGGCAAATCACCCTTAGGCAGAGTTCAGTAGTCAGTGGCTGTTAGCATGGTTTTACGTTTCTCCTGTGTAAGGTTTGTTTAATCCAAACTGACTTTGTATGATATCTTTTTATTCAAATCTGAGACATACCCCCATTTCAATTAGAGATTTTTGTAAGAAGAGGCATTATGGTTCTATTGAGAGCAGTTCTTATTTAACGGTCTTTTAAAATAGATGAAGCCAGTTTTACAAGTGTAGAAGGAATACAGACAACTGTAGTTAAATTTCTGTTAAAATTTTTCTTTACTAATTAGTCTTTTTACTTTCTTAAATGTCAATGGGTATTTTCCTATTTAAGTACTTCCTATGCTTTCCACATCAAAACTGTAAGGCATTTGGACTTAGATGAAACAATTGCCTTAAGAGTTTTCACTTAATGATCTTAAAAAAAACCAATTGTATTATTACAGAATTGTTATTTTGAATAGGAATAATCTTCATCCTTAAAAACATGATTTGCAGCCTTAGTTGACTACAGTATTTTTCTTTTTGAATTCAGCAATTCATGATGACCAATAAACTGGACACAGCAATGTGGCTTTCTCGCCTGTTCACCGTGTACTGCTCTGCTTTGTTTGTGCTGCCTCTTCTTGGGTATGTATTATATCTCTCTCTGCCTTTGTTATTCAGTTCAGTCAGTTTTTATGGAATATCTTTTAGGTGTAAGACTTGTTAAACTGCAAGGGGTTCCGGTACAAATAAAACACACTAATAACCTAATGTTACTAACTGGAAAAATATTTTATATTATGTGCTTTGTGGAAACTAACATCACATTGAAAATCTGAGAGAAAATGGATGTGTGGAAATGAGTTCATATATTTTACATTTTTTACTTTTTAACCTAACAAGAGGAATGACTGCTTTGTAAAATTCAGTTAGGTATATATATGAAGTGATGCTTCTAAGAAGGTACAATAGATTCTAGTAATTTTTTCTATTTATAATTAAGTAATAGATTTAGATGTTGTGTAATTATGATGCAATTCAAAGGAGGAAGAGGCATGGTAGTTGTTTATGTCTCATGATAACCTCTCCCCTGGTAATTTGCAGGTTGCATGAAGCAGCAAGCTTTTACCAACGTGCTTTGCTGGCAAATGCTCTTACCAGTGCTCTGAGGCTGCACCAAAGATTACCGCACTTCCAGTTAAGCAGAGCTTTCCTGGCCCAAGCTTTGCTAGAGGACAGCTGCCACTACCTGCTGTATTCACTCATCTTTGTCAATTCCTACCCTGTTACAAGTATCCTTTGTACCTTTTTGACAATGAAATTGCCCATTGCTATGGATAGAGTAGAAATTAAGGTCACAATAATCTCTGGAGCTAATGAAAATTAAATAGCTAATTTGGAATTTGTATGTTTACACATTTCAAATATGTTGTGGCGTGATAATAGGTATTCTAAATATGAGGGGGAGGGGTAGAGGTGGGGTGTGCTGTTCAGTCTGTTTGGGAAGCACTAGATTAACAGATAGTTTTCTTTACCATAAGACCTTTGATGTGCATTTGTACATTGTGAGACTAAAGGTTACTAGTGTTTCCTAAACTTACTTGTTATTTTCCTCCTGTGGACCATTCCTTAGGGAAGCGTTTTATGCTTTGAGAAGTGCTGCTCTTAAGAAGTTTTGAATATTTATGATACAACTATACATAATGGAAACACAAGAAAATATATCTCTAAGACTAAATATTACCTTTATCAATAATAAGTCTTAAAGAAAAGAGAATAAGAGGAAAGTGAAATTTTTGAGCACCTATTTTGCCAGTATATATGAATGTGACATATTTAATTCTTGCAATATTGAAAGAAAATTGTCACTGAACTCATTTTAGCAGATGCCATTTCAGATGTGAGTGTTTGGACATAATACATAGCCAATTTTGCAAAGTACTTGGTGAATTTTAAATGTTTTCCTTAATTGCTTTCTTCAGTGAGTATTTTCCCAGTCTTGTTATTCTCTTTGCTTCATGCTGCCACATACACAAAAAAGGTCCTTGATGTAAGTAAAACTATGCAGGTTTTTTTTACTCCTGGATTACACCTACTTCACATGAATTTGAGCTAAAATACATTTTGGTTTCTGTCACAAAAAGCTCCTCTAATCCTCACAAACTTGTTCTAAATTATTCGTGATTTGAAAGTTTTAAGTTTGGAATATTCTATTTATATTTCATAATACAGTATATTTTGTAGATAAAGTATTGTATTTAAGTTTATCCCGCAGTTGCCAGAGAAATTTCTGAAGTTGAAATGGATCTTTTCATTATTTAAAGGATTAGAATCTTTTAGGTTTGATAAGTTGTCAGAGATCTCTTTCTGCCGGTATTTATTTCTAGCATATCAGGTAAGTGGAGTGTACCAAATTTACTTTGCCCTAATGTTCAGAACTGCTGTTTTCCTAAAATTTCTTATTCTTGGGTTAGAACATTAAGCCTAACTTGTGTGCCAGGCAGATTGACTGCATATGCACTGAAATTTTAATTAAAATATCCAGATTTGCCTTGTGTTGACCTTTTTCTTTATTCCTATAATTCTTTGGTCACAGCAGTAATTGGACTCGGTGATTTCTACCTTTAGTTAGCTAAGGAGTCTCAAATACATACTTTAACTATATTACTGGGTAGTCAGGTTTTGTTATGGTTGGAGAGAAATAACCACCATTTTTTGTAAAGTAATCTTAAGAAAAATGAAAAGGACTTATATTAATGTTGTTTTTCTTTTTGAATCTTCAAGTACACAAAATATAATAAAGCAGGAAAATACACTAACTTTTGTCCTTACATAGTTTTATATGTCATCATTTCTAAATAATTGTCTTTTGCTTGTGTGGCCTGTTGAATATGCTGTTTATCTAAAGAAAGAAAATAATTGAGTGATCAGAAATGCTTTGTTCCTTTTAATGTTTGTTTTCTTGTGTTTTAGGCAAAGGGTTCAAATAGTTTACCTCTGCTGAGATCTGTCTTGGATAAATTAAGTGCTAATCAACAGAATATTCTGAAATTCATTGCTTGTAATGAAATACTCTTGATGCCTGCTACAGTTTTTATGCTTTTTAGGTAAGAATAAAAATACATTTGTTTTGAGAGGCTGATGACTAAGTGAATATAATAAATGTATTAATTCAAATTTTATCCTGCTTAAATGTTGAAGTAGATACTGATATGTAAAGCTAGATGGATCTTAGCAATTATCTTTTCACTTTATAGTGGAGAACCTGAGACATTATAATAAACCTAGGAACATGTCTTATTTATCATTCTTTGTGATTTATCATTTAACACTTGAAAAATTAATTTCAGAATAACTACCTTTGAAAGAATCTTGGGAAGTCTAGTTTAGTCCATTCTATTATTGAGGTGATTTTTCTTATACTTGAGGAAAATCTGAAAAATTATGGTCTGGTATTAATTGTTGTCTGCTGCCACCTCCTAGTTTGTTTGTATCTTAATTATAGAAGTAATGCCTGAATAAAGAAATCCTTCCTTTTGCCTGGATGGGCATGGCTCAGTGGTTGAGCCTTGACCTAGGATCCAGGCTGTCAGGGTTCGACTCCCGGTCAGGGCATGTGCCTGGGTTGCAGGCTAGCTGATCAATGACTCTCATCATTGATGTTTCTCTCTCTCTCTCCCTCTCCCTTCCTCTCTTTGAGATCAATAAAGATATATTTAAAAAAAAAAATCTTTCCTTTTAAAAATTAAGTAGAGTATTGACCACTCCACCAATATTCTTGCATTTAACTTTTAAAACTACATTTTTTCAGGATTATTGCTTTTTCGATTTTTAGTTTTTCATAAGACACTACAGATAAAAGCTAAAATATCATTTGACTATGAATCTTAGTAGCAACTCTGTCCTCTCCTTCCCAGAGGTAAGGAGTTTGATAATGTGTACATGTTTTTTGTCGTTTGAAAATGCTTATTCAGATAGGTAGAAAAAAATTATTATGTTGTGGGTGTGGGGTTTCTTTTAGTTTTTATTTTACGTATCATAATGCATCAATTATCTGCATCTTGCTTTTTCCACTCATACAGTAAGTTTTTGTGACCTGTTTATGTTGAAACACAGAGGTATTATTTGTTTTGTTTAGTGGCTGTGTAGTATTCATCATGTTAGTATGCTATATTTATTACACATTCCCCTGATGGACATTTGTTACCAAATATTTACTTTTCCAAATGTTGTTACAATAAACATGTTTTTGCTTGTCTGCTTTTACTTTTCTCTCAGTGTTATCTCTAACATAGATACCTGAATTGATTTTGCGGAGTCTAAGCTAGGCGTATTTTATATTTAATAGACCATGCATGGTTCATGAAATATTTTAATGTTCATTGTCTGAGGTTTTTATGTACCTGACAGTTATCCTTTTCTTTAGCACTTTCTTTTCAAGGTAGTAAGAGTTTTATAGATTCTTCATAAAGGCATATATCCATTCCATTCTTTCAAATAATGTTTTCCCCTGAAAAATCCATAATCACCACATATTGCTTAAGTTGTGGGGTCCCAACTAGATAATATAACCTAAATAAAGTTCTGGAATGATATAATGGATTTTGATATGAGAGATATAATTATGACCATTTGATGAATAAAGACACATCCTCCATTTAAATTGCCTTTGAGTTTTGAGAGTATGTATATGAATTGATGCTGTATATTTATTACCTTTGTATTTGTTTCTTTTAGTGGTCAAGGAAGTTTGCTCCAGCCTTTTATATACTATAGATTTCTTACTCTTCGATACTCCTCTCGAAGAAATCCATATTGTCGGTAAGCTTGTGATTAGCTCAAGCATGTTTTATTTGTTAAGAGTATTGTGAAATATAGTATTTGTAACTTTTAAGTTATTTCGTTTTTATGTTAGAATTTAGAAGCAAGCAGTGTTTTTGTACATTTACGTTCTAAGCCTTAGGTGAGGAAATGGTTTATATCTTTCGAAAAATTGAGACTGGCCCTGGCCAGTGTGGCTTAGTTGGTTGGGCGTTGTCCTATGCACCAAAATGCTGCTGGTTTTATTCCCTATCAGGGCACATGCCCTGGTTGCAGCTTGATCCCCCATAGGGGGCATGCAGGAAGCAGCTGGTGTTTCCTTCTCACATTGATGTTTCTCTCTCTCCCCCCTTTCTTCCTTTCTCTCTCTAAAAAAAACAAACACACCAGTAAAAATGTTTTTAAAAAACAACACACACACATACACACACACACATAAAACTGAGACTGGAGTTATCTTGACCACCTTTAAAAGAGTACTAAAGCTTAAGGAATTTAAAGATGGGTAAGACATAACTCCCATTCTTAAGGATCTTTCCTAGATGAACAAACAAAACACAAATCAGGTAATGAAAGAAGAAAACAATAGTTCAGGATACAGCATTCACAAGTCAATTTATGATTGTCATATGTTTATCATATCAGTACTGTAATCCACAGGAGGAAGAAATGATTGAGCCAGAAGATAGGAAAGTTTCACAAAATAGAGATTTTAACTTGTTCTGGAGGGAGTAAAGCCTTTGAATAGACAGTGAGAATAGGTAAAAGCATTTTAGGTATGAAGACAGTAGGAGTACAAGTTCAGAGGTGAGAAGGTACAGCCATCTTTAAGGGGCATTGAGTAGACTTGTTTGACTATTAATGAAGATTTTGAATAGTGGATAGTTGGAGCGACAATTAAAATGGTATATTGGAGCCATATCATAAACTTCCTGAGTTTCAGGGTAGGAAGTATGGAATTTATCTTTTAGATGCATGGGAATGGTGGTTTTGACATGATCTTAATCTTCAGATAGCCTTGTGCAGAATAGTTTGGAATGGAAAACTAAGGAAGAAGAAAAATATTTTAGTGACTTACTGTAGTGTTCAGGAATAGAAGCTTAAATTGTTTTACAGTAAATTATGCTTGCTTATCTCAAAAGTTAGAGTAAAACTAACATGAATAACTGTTTTCAATAGCCTCTTAAACGTGTTATTCAGATAGTGATGTTAACATAGTTTTTGTTTTCAAGTTTAAAATAAACTCCTCATGTAGTAGAATTCAGCCAGAAATCCAGTGAGTACATTAGCTTGACCTGCATTGTATTTTCACATGCAAAGTAAAACAGCTGAATTTCAATGCTCGCCCATCATTTGCCAGGTATGTGACTTTAGACAAGTTATTTACATTTTAATTTCTTCATTGGTAGAGAAGAAAACTTGGGGTGAAATGAAGTAATGTTTTGAAAAGTGCTTAGATTCTGTTAGGTTCTTAATAGTTTATTTTCCTTTTTCTGTGATTCTGATTCTTCTTCTTTGAGGGGTATTTATGGTTATTAGACAATGTCTTTACAATATTTCCTAAATAGAGTTTACTTATTTGTGTCATAGGTTCTTAATGAGTGCCTAGTTGCAAATAAACCTTCAATTTTTCTTGATTCTATGAGTTTTTGCCCTTAGTCTTTCTGGCTCATGTATTTATTTCAGACATTTTCTGGTCCCCTGCCATCCATTTTTCTTTTTTTTTTTTTTTTTTTTTTTTTTTAATATATCTTTATTGATTTCAGAGAGGAAGAGAGAGAGAGAGAGAAAGAAACAAAAAGAAACATCAATGATGAGAGTCATTGATTGGCTGCCTCCTGCATGCCCCCTACCGAGTATCGAGCCCGCAGCCCGGGGAATGTGCCCTGACGGGGAATTGAACCGCGATGTCCTGGATCTTAGGTTGACACTCAGCTGCTGGGCCAGGCTGGCTGGCTGGGCATTCTTCATCAGTAGATTTGTTTTGTTTTTCTCTGCTTCCTTATGTCCTCTTCTTCACTCACATTTTTTCCACATTCCCTTAAATAAGATCAGGACAAATAGAAATTTAGAAGTGTTTAGTGAAATAAAAAAAGGATAGCAGTGGCTCAAGATAACACAAATACGTGTCACCGAATAGGAGAGGGGCTTGTCTTCTCCAGTTATTTGTGGGAGTGGAGTTCTTAGGGTGCTGTTGGAATAAGCATTTCCAGAGGCCTCCACGGGAGGATGAGGCATGGTAGAAAGCTTTATTTCCGTGGATTACACCCCTGGGTTTCCAAAGTCCCATTTCCCTTTGCCCAGTTATAGAAGAAATGCAGCTAAGGTTTCAATAGAGCTAAAATCAGAGTCAGTGTCCAGAGTTTCCTTTCCATGTTGGAGTCAGGTCCAGGCCAGCATCAGGCTAGTTTAGCTTGTGTTTCCCCACTGCAGTCCATTAGTCCATTGCGTGTGGGGATCGTGGCCATGGGCCATAGGGGCGAATGCAAGAGAGCCAAGAGTCATAAGAGTCATGAGCCATGGGTGCCAAGAGCAGCAAGAGAGAGAATTCCTGTGTTTAGGGGATTATGTATTCCTAAATGTTCTTGGGTTTGTAATGGCCACGCCCATTCTGGCCAACCATCTCTGTCTCCAGGTTTGACTGACAGGCACCTTTTCTAGTCACCCCAACTTTACTGGGCATGCCTCTATCTTTTTCTTGTTGCATCCCTTCCCCCAGTGTTTTGTAGGGAATAGGCTGGTGTTCCCTGGGGAGTGAAATTGCAGCTTCCTGGTAAAGCTGCCCAAATGACATGCCTATGTCTGCCCTTCCCTTTGTTCCTTTCCTTTTATTAATAGCCAGCTAATTACAACGGTATCATATGTGCTAATAAACGTCTTCAAAGATCTCACGTAAGCACACATTTTAACCAAAACAGTGGAAAGGTAATGGAAAATATTTGAGCTTATAGATATTGGTATATAGGCTATAAAACCACATTTACTACACTACACTTTGTTTTGTTAAGGGTTTTGAGACAGTCTGTATCACCAGCTTGTACCCGTGTCACCTAGTTAGTGGTATCAGTACTTTGTAGATGTCTAGTGTAGATTGTCCAGAGCTGTGCTATATAATTCGGTAGCCAGTAGCCACATTTGACCATTTAAATTTAAATTCGTGAACTATAAACTCACTTACTGAATCATACTAACCACATTTCAAGTGCTTGAAAGCCATGTGTGGCAGGTGGCCACTGTATTCGACAGCAAAAACAGACATTTTGGTCATCACTGAAAATTCTGTTGTCGGTACCTCTCCAAAGTAACTCTGTGACTCGGTGTAGATTATGTCAGGGATAGAGCCAAGGATAAAGGAACTGACCATGTGACTTTGGGCCCACCTCTTTAGGCCATGTAACCCGAGGGGATTTGACTTGAGTATTTTCCATGTGCCCTGTAGCTTTGTTCATTAGCTTGTTTATTCAGAAGACAGTGATTGTGTGTTGGTGGTGAGTTTTTGTAATATTGAAATACCTGCTTTCCAGGAACTGAGAGCTAAGTGAATTAGACAGCTATATAAGGCAATATGATGATGAAGGTGCTGAGAACAGAGGGAGATGTGAGAATTCACCGAGGAGCTGCTAATATGAGCCAAGCCTTCTGAAGTCCTAGTTCTGCCACATGGTGTCTGAAAATGCTCAGCATAGCAGTAGTACATGTTGCTTGAGCTGAGAAGCAGTATATAGGAAAATAACAAAGATCTGTTCCAAGAAAGGTAGACAGAGTAGAAGGTGGAAGTTTGAATTTTATTTCAAGGTAGGAAGAGCATTTGGATTTTCTAATGTGGAGGGGTTAAGAATGTGATGAGCTCTGATTTAGAAATATCATTCCAGAAGGTGGATTAAAGGCTCACCAGGAGGAGAAAACAACAGCCCAATTTGGAGACGGTTAGAGTAGTCCAGAGCCTGAATGAATTCACTGGTAAAGGAAAGAGGAGATCAATGTGAAAGATATTTAGGAGGGTAAGAACCCGGGGTCCGGGGAAGGAGAATGAGGCAGAATCCTGGGAACCTAAGAGAACTGTGGAGGTGGGGCTGTCACAAAGGTAGGAGGTATAAGAAGGTCAGGTTTGGGGGTCAATGGGCATATTTCAAAATTTCCTTCCTGTCCTTGGGTGAGCGCATATTACACCTTTTTTTTTTTTTTTTTAAATCCTCACCTGAGGATATGTGTTTTTTTTTTGGTTTGTTTTTAGAGAGAGAGAGAGAGAGAAACATTGATCAGTTGCCTCCCGCACACACCCTGAGCTGGGATTGAACCTGCAGCCTTTTGGCATATGGGACAATGCTCCAGCCAGCTGAGCCACCTGACCAGGGCTCCTTCCCGCCCCCCCAAACAGTAGATTAAAGCAGGAGTTGTCAGCACACAGGGTGAAAATTGTAAATGATCAAAATTATTGCCCTTGATCAATTCCAGTACATGATACATGATATTGTGTCCACTAGCCTGGACAATATATGTGTAATGTACAGTGTGCAATGAAGAGTACTTTGAGGCAGTGAGCTCAATTGAGGCAGAGTCAAAGTCTGGAACCTGTTTTGGGCACAAACATAATACAACTGTTTTATGAGAGTCATGGCAGAGGGTGGCAGGAGATGAAGCAGAATATTCGATTGAGTCCAGATTCTGGAAGGCATTGGATGTTAAAGGTTGGGCTTTGGTCTGTAGGCAAACAAATGCCAGTTTGATCAGTGGAATGATCCAACTGGGGAAATAACGTCCACTGAGCGTCTTCTGTGTCCTCTCATTTAAATTTCCTACAACTCTGTGAAGTGCGTATTCCTATTGTTATTGGAGGATTACGCGAATTGGATTCCTCCTTTGATAATGGGAGTGGAGTTCTTGGGGTGCCGCTGAATGAGCAGTTCCAGAGGGCCCCATGGGAGAATGTGGTGTGGTAAAAGGCTTTATTTTTGTGGAGTTACATTCCTCGGGTTGTAAAGTCCCATGCCCCTTAACCCAGTCCTGAAAAAGGTGCAGCTGGAGCTTGGGCATGTGTCTATTTTCCAGTCCCTTCCCCCATTGTTTAGGGGGGAACAGACTTGGAGAGTGTTAACCGCAGCTTCCTGGCAAAGCTATATAAATAGTATGCCTATATTATCTAGTCTCCCCTTTACTCCTTTTCTGTTAAATAACCAGGTTATTATAACGATATCACTATTTTATAGATGAAAGCTCTAAGAGGCAGTCTGTTCATTTAAGGAAATAGTAGGTGGGATTGCCCATGTTATATAATTTTCACATTCTTGCTCTTTTTTGGAACTAGGTGAATTTGCCTAAGTTAAATGTGAAAATGATGTGATTCTCCTGTAAGATATAAATCATCCCTAATCTCAGCCCTCAGAGGTAGCCATTTATTAAATGCTTTTGTTAAATGAACTTTTCTCCCTGAAAAGACAAGTGTTGATTTGAGGATTTTATTTTGTATTTTCTAGGGAAAACTGTTGGCAGTGCATTCTAGTTATTTCTTTTACTTCTTCAGATTCTTTAATGGCTGTGGGAAATTCCTTCATCAGCATTGCTTTGCATTATGTTGCTTTTTTCTTGTGTTTCTGAAAGAAAACTATTTTATCTTGCAGGACCTTGTTCAATGAATTGAGGATTATTGTTGAACATATAATAATGAAACCTGCTTGCCCACTGTTTGTGAGAAGACTTTGTCTCCAGAGCATTGCCTTTATAAGCAGATTGGCACCAACAGTTGCGTAGTTTAATACCCAGCTAAGTTATATATAATATAAATAAGAATTATTAGCAGCTGGTACTTCTGCTAGGGGTTGTAAATTCCAGGTGTGAAACTGACCTCAATCCAATTTACATAATTTACATAAATGCATCTTAATGGAAAAATAACATTTTCCTGGCATGTTAAATCAAGCCTTTATTAAAAAGTTTCCAAGAAAGTTCTGTTGTGTTGTTAATGGTTAAGGAAGTTTGTATTTTATAATAAATGTATCACTTTTTTTTTAAAATGCTGCTGTGCCTTTATCATGTACATTTACTTCTTTTGTGAAAATAGCTCTAAAATTTGTTTCAACCTAATTGGTAACCTGAATTTATTTATAGCTGGCATTAGTTCATTATGGTAACATTTACATATGTGAATTCAGTGTATTTTGAGACAGTATTCTTTTGCCATTTATGAATTTTGGTTGATGATTTTAACAGAAGCACTTCCCACTGTATTTGGTTTTAAATTGTTATTAAATTGATTTTGTACTGCTTTGTTAGGACAGATTTATTTTGGATGTGTCATTATAAAAGGACTTCTGTATATGTCTTATGCTCTGACCTTCCAAAATTTTATTTCCATAATTACTTCTCTGGATTTACATATTTTTTTAAAAGGCTCAACTATAAGCTTGTTAACCAGTTGGGCAGATATTTGGGGTCACCTGACTCTTTTACATCAGAAAGCAGTAGTCCTACAACTTTCCTTTCAGAGGCCCATTGAGTAACATTTCTAACAAAAAAATCCCTTTTTTTACAGTGTGGACATATAGGTTATTAGTATTATTATAGTTTATAATATTACCTAGGTCAGATTATTTACTACCAATTTTCTTGGTTTCTTAGGCTTGAATTTTCATGGACAGTTGCAGCAGTTCAGGCACCTTTTGAAAGGAATGTAACTGAAGATTGATCATATGACTGTACTTAGTATCTGTTCTGAAATAATAATGAAGACTATCCTGTAGGTTGTATACTCATCAAATCTGATTTAAAGGTTAAATGGAAAGGTTTATAGGTAAGGTAACTGATTGGGAATGGTGCCTGAGGAGGTGTTTGGGGGAATAGTGCACATTTCAGTTTCATGCTGGATAAATAAATTTGGGGGAATTGGATGTATTGTGCAACTATGATTTGAGTTGTATAATATGTTAAATCCTATTTGTTGAGCTTCTATCAACTCTATAAAATTTATTCTGATCTTTATTGTTACATGATTGGAAATGTTTAAAATGTTGCAAAAATTTTAGTACAGAGTAATGTAATGGTTTTTGTAACCATTTTTCTTCTGTCTGCATGTAATTTGGATTTCTCAAATACATTCATTGGTAATTTATTAGTAACATCAGTTTTCTTTTTGTTCAACTTTCAGATTATAGAAATGTGATATCTACTTGATAACTCGACCATAACCAGCTCTTTTTGTAATATTTTTCTACTAAGTTAGAGAAACAGCCTCATAATATACAGTTGATTTTGTGTGTGTATGTATGTGTGGCTTGCCTCATTATCGCTGTATATATAATCTGATGATTTCAAGGATTAAATTTTCTAGAGCAATAAAGTGACTATGATATTAAATAATCAGTATATTTTGGCAGTGAAGTCATATTTATTTTTAAGTTGCTAGGTGGTTTTTTTTGTGTTTTTTTTTTTTACAATTTTTTAAATCTTGAGATAATTTTAGATTTATAGAGGAGTTGGAAAAGTAATATAGAGAGTTCCTATATACCCTTTGCTCAACTTCCCCTTAGCATCTTATCAAAACTATGAAATTAACCCTGGAACAATATTGTTAACCAAAGTACAGAACCTATTCAGATTTCACCAGGTTTTACATTTGTTAATATTTTTGTGTGCTCTGTTTTTACCGTGATTATTATTTGCTTTTAATGACCTATAAATATGCTTCTGTTTTGAGGTTTGTTTTTGAAAATTACTGTTGGCCAAAAAGATTTTTCTCACAAAGGGAATTCGTGTTGGTTTTAACAAAAAGAATGGAACATTTAGATCTTCACAGTTTAAAACACTCTGTACTTTAAAAGTCAAGGCTTTCTATCAAAAACAGGATTATATTTCTGACATGCTCATGTTTGACTGTTCTTTAAAGGAAGGCTGGATTTATAAATAAGATTATTTCTACACTCATGAAAAAGTAAATTTTACAACTTGAACATTACTAGGTGTGTAGTTTGCATGAACTTTTAGTCAGAAATTCTGTGATATGAAAATATATAACCAGCTGATACAGCATCTGAAATTATAGTATAACATATACCTATCAAATTAAAATTAAGGAAATAAAACAGCAGTATATAGAATGAATGCAGTAGGAAAAATAGCAGCATAGCTGAGCTTATTTTTACTTACAGGTTTTAAAAAAAGCTGATTTAACTTCTAGAATATCTAATTCTTTAGGAAGTGGTATAGTGCTGTGGTTCTAGCACTTTTTAGATATTATATCCTCTTGGACAGGTGGAAATCTCATACAAAACCTACTTTATCTAGCAGTGAGTCTACATTCCTCTTCTAAACTTGATTCCTCATGAATTTAAACTCTATTTAACATTCCAAAGAGAATTTCTAAAATAACAATCTGTACTTAAATGTACTTGGGATAAAATGCACCAAGGTATATTATTGCTGGAAATAAGCAAGAATGAAAGCTAACTTTTTTTTTTTTTTAATTTAGATATTTAGGAACATCTCTTAGAGGAAAATTCAAGGCATGTTAATATTAGACTAGAAGTTATGAAAGATTTATGAAGTCTGTTGTATAACTAAGAATTATAAAGCTGTCAGAATACTTCCTTTCTTCCTAAAAGTCAGGATCACAAGTTCAGATTAGGTTTGTAAGTTTAGGACATAAATATTATTCTTTCCTGAAAAAGATAATGAGGATAGATCTAATACAAGTAGAACTGATTTAGTTAAGTTCAAGATCAGAATGAATGAAATTAATTTTGAGGGATTGTGGTAAAGACCCCTGTCTAATGCTAAGGAATTTATTTTGATTAACGTAGTTATTTTAAAGCTGCTTCCCTGCCCAAATCCACTTAGGATCTGCTAGCCTCAAAGCTGTTACCCAGATTTAGACTAACTTTGCTACCTATTCTGTGCAAAATGTTGGGGGAGAAAGTAACCACAGACTGGCATGTTTACGATCAGTAGGTGGCGCTCTTTCCCCAGGTAGCCCCCAGTTACACAGGTCATGTTGGAAGGTTAAAAACCACTAAACGGGCTGAGTCAGCCATAAAACTAAGGATCTTAAGTCCATGACCTCTTAAAATATGTAATTACTCAATATTCCACAAATATTTAGTAAGCGTTTATTGTGAGTACATTTTTAAAATAGTGAAATGTTCAAAAGCTGGAAAAGTACCCTGTTAATATCTGCTTTCTAAGTAAACAGTAAAATAGACCACAATTGTGGCCTATTTTTTAAAATTTCATTGTAACTTTCGACATCACCTAAACACATCAATTATAAAATTGTTCTTCATTTTCAGATGTGTAGAAAAATGGTAAATACAGTTTTTTCATAGTCATTTTGTAGGTACATGAGGCATAGGCAGTTCATCCTCTTAAACTTCCATAGAAGTATAAACGCATATTGAAATTTTTGGACGTTGTATCAGGAATGGTACCTAGACTTGTAAATTCAGTTTGAGTTGCAGAGACAACTAGTTTAACACCTCATTGAAATTTCTCTAGGATTAGGAGAATTCTGCAGAGGCTTTATGATAGTATAGGTCAACAGATAGTATACCAAAAGCATATGTTTATATATCCAGGGGTTATTTCCAGAGGTAGTTTTAATGAATGGTCCTCTTATAATATTCCAGGTGGAAAGTTGTTACAGGATCTGAAGTTAATGATAAGAAAGGAACAGCTAAAATTTTGGGAGGTGACTTGACTTTGGGTGGTAAACAGAATACAATATATAGATAATGTATTAGAGAATTGTTCACCTGAAGCATATAATTTTATTAACCAATGTCACCTCAGTAAATTCAATAAAAATTTTTTGTGGGGAGGTTTCCTGGTAGTAGTAATTATTCTAGGACATGTTTATCTTCTAAGTGACATTCCAGTGGATTCTTAAAAGGAACACGATCCTGTGTGAGGATTAACTCTACAGTAGTCTTTCTTTTTGTGCAGTGCAAATAGTAAAACTGACCTGCTTTGACTTTTAGTTGATGTGAGAAGAGAATAAAGTACAGTATTTTTAAACATCTAAAGTAGATTATTTTTCTTAGAAAGTGATAGTAAAAAATTATTGATGGATATCTTTGCTGGAATCTAAAAATTACCTCGTATTTCAGGAGAAAAGGGCCCCAAAATCATTTCACTTTTTCCTTCCTAGCTTTCTGAAGCTACTTTTTTGATGTGCTTCGTATTTTTAAACCTTTTTTTTCTTGGTTCATGGCAGTTTAATTCCAAACTTTGCCTATTTTTTTATAACTTTAAAATAAAACAATTGCTTTTGACATGAATTTTTGCTTGCACGTATAAGTTGAGACCAAATGGGCAAAGTCTTGGGCAGGTAACAAATTGTGATGTGTTATATTGGAACAAATGTAAAAGGGTTGCAAAGATTAGAGTCATAAAAAAAATGCTTGATTTATAAATGCATTACCTCTGGTGCTCTATATAATGGGATATATTGAACTAAAAAATTTGTATATATAGTATGTCAGCATTTCTCAGTAACTTCTCTTGAATCCATTTTTAATATCTAATATTGTACAGGTTGGGGAGTTATACTTTTCAGGCCAATACTATCCAGACTGTATAAATTTATAAAATAAATTGAAAAATTCATCATTCCCTGTATTCAAGACCAAAGCACATAAATGCTAATGTAGGGCTCAGAGGGGAAATATATTTCTTCTGAATATTTGAGAAAATGTGAAGTCCTTTCAAGAAAATCTAATAAACATAATAATCATAGCCTGCTGACACTAAGGGAAAAGGACCTCATTTGCTCTTTCTTTTATGCAGCGATTTACTGGTCCCTACTGATTTCCAAATTGGATCACTGTAGTAAATTATCTATGCTGGTACCTGTGAAAGTAAGCCCTGGGATCCATATTTGTTTTGTGTTCTGCTTAAATCAGCAAGAATGATAAATTTGATGGTGTGAAATTGGAAGTGTCAAGGGCTTTCTTTGGTGATTGAGCAAAATAATGTCTCCACTTGTAATTATTGTGCCCCTTTTTCACTGTATGTGCTTTGTATATCTAATATTTATTTCAGTACAAATTAAATTGTTGTTCCTTCATCTGTATTGTTATATCTAAGATTTTATTGATGTAAAAATCAAATTGTGTAATAAAAACCTCTCTGGATTTAAGCAGATTTGAAAATGTTACATTGCAGAAAACATTTACAGTTAGAATTCAGCTTTCCATTGTGCTTCATTGCCTTATTGTTAGAATAAGGTGACTTTGAACATTTCTGTTGTGTTCAGTTCATCACAAATAATAGAAATGGTATAATTTTGTGATCTGATATGAAACTGGAAAAAAAAAAGTAGTCTAAGGTCTTAGAAACTGGAAAAAAAATTACAGTGGATCTCTCAGCTGCTTGCCTGCCTCCTTCTGTACTTTTTAGTTTAGTGAAATTTACAGCCTAGTGTTTGAGTTGCTTATAGCCCTAAAATAATTCACAACATACAGTATATCCAAAGTCATAAGTCAACACAGGGTGACACGGAGGAATATATTTCCCTCCTAGGTGTTTAGAGTTAGCAGATACTTATTTTCTGTGGCAGTTTTTAACTTGTACTGAGCAAAACACAGTACCAGCAAGTTAAACAAATCCTTATCCATTTAGAGATTATAATCTAAGAGGCATTATGGAAATCAGTTGTGTAAAGACAATTCTGATAGTTGAGTAAATACTGAATTAGTACATGAATTGTCCATATAAGGGGAAAAGTGTATTAGGAAAATTCATTTCCTAAAGATTCAATGGTAGGTTCTTAGGGACTTACACATTGTTGATACACATGTTCTTTCCCTTAGCAAGTGGGAATACATGGAGCTTTATAAAATAATACATGGAGTTTTATAAAATAATTCTGTACTTTGGGAAGGGAAGAGCCATCTCATTCCTTAAGGCTGGCTGAATGGAGAGACTATGCAAAGTGGTCAATTGAGATCCTTGAGAGTTGTCAGTCTAAGCAGGTGATTTGTTAACAAAGTGCTCTTTAAAATTTATTATGGTGAGTTATGACCTTACGTAAAAATAGAATATATAACAAACCCCCCTCTTACTACCCAGCCTACCAATCCTCCGACCCTGCCTTATCCTCTCACCTGTGTTCACTTTCCCTTCTGGTTTAAGTAATTTCACATTATTTTACACAACTTAGTAAAATTTTCATTATGTGTCTCAGATAAGAATCCGTTTTAAGATCAAAATTTAAAAAATAACGCAGGTCTTTTAGACTGGATAAGTAGAAGTGATTGACTAAGAATAATGCCCTGATATGAAAAAGGCTTACACAATTTTATAACAAGCATAAGGTAAAAGAAGGAAATTCTGCTATTTTTCAGTAAAGGAAGATACTTCTCCCTCAGACAGAGACAGAGACCACCACCCTCGTGGCAAAATGATAGGGAGATTTTGCCTTCCCACAGTATACTGCCTTCTAAAGGAGATAGTGTATCCAGTGATTTTTCCTTGGAAACACGAAGCGGGATTTCAGTGGGTCTTATCAGAAACAGTGGGGCAGGTAAGTTCTTCAAAGGAAGGCAGTGATGGTAACCAATGAAGGGGATAATTTGGGGCTATGATACTAAATTAAGAAAGGGACTTAATATTAAACCATTGTTCTCATCAAATGGCCTTGTAAATGTTTCTAAGTAATTAAATTGTGAGATTTAAGTCAACTTACTCCCAAATTTATTTTTAACTTTACATCCTTTAAAAAATACCCAGTAGTTTGTAGTATTTTTTTCATTAAATTCTTTAAATTTGGAGTTCTACCACAGTAATTATCTAGAGTTCTGAGAGTAATAGGCCATTTCACTTAAGTAACCAAAAACCCTGAAGACAAAGAAATGAAACTTGCAGTGACCCAGCATAAAGTGGATATGTCTTTTTCCCCCAACTCATAAAAGATAGTTATATAAACAGGCTTCTCCAATCTGAAGTAATGGTCCCTGACACTGAATTATCAGGTTCATGTTCTGTAGTTCAATTTAGTAATATCCAAAGCATATAGTTCATCTTTTGAAATGCTTAGAAATTACATTTTTGCCCCTGTATCTAAAAAGCTAAACTTCCTTTTTGGACTTACTGTACTATTGGGCTTATTGAAGTCAATTTTGTATTTATTTTTAATCCTCACCTGAGGATATGTTCTTACTGATTTTTAGAGAGAGAGGAAGAGAGAAATATCGGTTGGTTGCCTCCTGTACAACCTAGGTATGTGCGCTGACCAGGAATCATCCCAAACCCTTTTGGTGTGTGGGATGGCACTCCAGCCAGCTGAGCCACTCAGCCAGGGCTTGAATTAATGTTTTTTCTATGAACTTTATATTTCCCTTTCTTGAGGACAATCCTCAGTTTCAAATAAAAGCAGAACATTTCTTATAAAAATATTGGAACAATTTTTAGAGTATATTTTAATTTTGACCCTTTTATATTTTTAGTTATATGAACATATTTCTGGGAATATTTTTTCAAAGTGAACAGTAATTAAACACCCTAATAATTAAAACCTACCATAGTTTTTTTTTCTTTCTTTGACCCTTTATTTTTTATTTTTAAATATATCTTTATTGACTTAAGAGAGAGGAAGGGAGAGGGAGAGAAAGTTGAAACATCAGTGATGAGAGAGTCACTGATCGGCTGCCTCCTGCACACCCCTGACGGGATGGAGCCCGCAACCCGAGCATATGCCCCGACCGGAATTGAACTGCGATCTCCTGGATCCTAGGTCGATGCTCAACTGCTGTGCCACAACCGGCTGGCTGACTTCTAATAGAGGTAAAGTCAAAGGATATGTGAGGCTTATTACAACTCTGGGTTTTTATGTTCATCATTCTTGCTCTAAAAAGGCTTTATGGAAGGTATAATGAACTATACATATTTATATAGTACTAATATGTTTCCAATAACTCAATGTCTTTTAACCCTTTGACATTAAAATGTACAAATAACCTTGAAGCAAGTTTATAAAGTCTTTGTCTTTTTTCTGTATACAGTTATCAGATTCTCAGACATTAGAATCTTATTTTAATTACAAGCAAACTGCCCCCTGGTGGCAACTTTTCTGCAAAATAATTCTAGTGGCTCTCATTTTGCATGTAGTAAGAACCATAAGGGTGGGAGAGTAAAGAAACATTGCTTGGCTCTTGATTTTATTTCCAGTTGGTTTTTACATTAAACACTTAACCAAGGTTACAAAGGACTTCTTATGATTTCAACCTTTTAATGTTATAAAAGTTTTTAGACCATTATCATTGGTTAATAATTACTATTCATTTTCAAGATGCCTAAGTAAGCTAATAATTTTTTCCATTACATTTATGAAACAAGTAGACAGACTTTTTGTCTCTATTTTAAAACTGAGGAACCCAAATTCTACAGATGAGTCAGCAGGAATTTCTGACTGATAATTTATGAAGGAAATCATTACAGAGTACAACCCTCATTCAGATTATGTTCACTGAGTATGCATTTTATAGTCTAAGTGACAGACTTAGGAAACAGCACCCCATGGGTGTTACTGGGATACCATGATGATGGGTATTCACACAGCCCATTCTTTTTAAAATTTGTAAAATAAATGATCCAATACTTAGGAAATGTCTCCATATGTTTTCTGTTTGCCCAACCTTGGAAGGTCATATTAGACATTTACATGTCTTCAAAGTTTCGAGCAAGGATAAGAGGAGATACTCTTCTGTAAATGAACATTTTTTGGTTATCAATAATGGTTCTCTTATAAATGGATCTTAACTACCATGCCAAGAAAAAGAAAAGTATTGCATAACCATTTATACCAAATATTCAAATTCCTTGAATTAATACATTATCGCTCACAGACATCAGTAGAACTTAACACTGGTTATTTTAGTGTCATTTCTGTATAATCTTTGGTTTTTAAAAATACACACACACACATATATATTTAGAGAGCGAGGAAAGGAGAGGGAGAGAGAAACATCAGTGTGAACATTGATGTGAGAGTGAAACATCTATTGGCTGTCTCCTGCATGCCCACTACTGGGGATTGAGCC